AAAGCAACAAACAGTCGGATTTCTACAGATGTATGGCACTAATAGATCATGATGCTCTCTGACATGAAGTAGATAGAAAGCTTACTATATTTCACTTGCTCTCTAGACACAGAAATATTCTAAGTCAAATGAACAAACATCTAAATTGAATCACTAAGACAATCGCAGCTCTCCAATCAATTTCCAGATTGAGTCAGTTCCTAAACATCACCCCTTTAACATAGGGGAAACTAGTGTTACTGTGGTCTAATCTTTCTGTTTGAATTCAGAAACCTGACGGTAACAATGTAAATTCAATAGAAGAGAGATTAATTGCATAAGACTGAACTGGTAAAATAAAATTTTATGACTTTTTAATTTTATATTACTGATTTTCTTCTATGCTTTGTTTTCCAGATTTGAGGTTTTTGTCTCCTTTGGAACTGTTGATAGGTTCAGTAATTTGTTACGTATTTATTTATTTGTTTACTTTTGTGAATTGAAACATAAACTTGCATCAGAAATTGTAAATACTGATTATTTCCAGGGCTTTGACTGGAATGTCATATCTGATGATACGACCAAACTAAGGAACTTAAGTAGATCTCAAGAAACTGAATAGAAGCCCTTGGAAAGATTGCCTGGTACCATAAAGAGTTCTGCTTGGCAGTTAAGTAAGAATGTCAACTCCTGACAGGTCCAAAAAACTTTCCTGTACAGGTACTTAAAGGCACGGTCAGATGGGGAGTTCCTGACTTGGCTCAGTAGCCTTAGAAAAATTGTTAAAGAGTCTCATCTGAAGTTTCTTATAAGTTTCCGGCAAAGCCAATTAAATCAATTAATATTATTTTGGGTCTTTGTGCAAATAACAGACCAAATTGAGACTAAATTTAATTTTTTGCAAATAAGTTAGTTTGAACAGAATCCTAACCTTTTTCCTGCCTCTAAGTCTTGGGCACATTTTTCTTAATATTTTTGAGTTTGATTATTTAAAGAAATCTGCATTTCTTGAAATTAAAAAAATACATAAAACAAAACCAAAAAATATCTTCTTTATAACCACAATAAGCTCTATAGCCTCAGTAGTATGTTCATTCTACTCACTGAGTCTTATGCGTAAAGTCAGATATGTGTTCATAGATATGTTTATATCAGCTGCACTTGGTATTGAAAATATTTAGATTAATCAAGATCTTTTGTGAATCAAAAAAATGTGGGGGGAAAAAAGCATAGGGGAAACCAGGTCCCCTTGAGGGAAGACCCAGTACATTACCAAAATGTTATATTGTTAATCTTCCCTGCAGCTTTCCCATAAGGGACCTATGATCTTTTACCAGGAGAACTGTGCATTTGGGGAAAAGAAAACCATCAGACCTTTTGAATAATACTGGACATTGTCTCTTAACTGACATTAATTCCATAAAACATAAAATGTCAGTGTGGATAACTTCATAATAGAGGCCATGGAGGTCAGCTGACTAAGGAAGTTTTAGGTCAAGTTCATCCTACATGGGCCCCAAAGTTTCTTGATCCCATACTGTGATTATTTCCCCAGATCTATACTGCATGTTTGAAAGAGATCTACTCAGCCACTGGCATTCCTACATTCGTTCCCTGGCCTATAGAATGAGGGTTATTATGGTGAGAAAATTCAAGTGTAAGTTATTAGAACTACTCTCAAACTGAAAGAAGTACTACTGAGAGTAGCACCACTACAGAGGACTTAAAAGATTCAGGGGTGGTGAGTCCCACCATGTCATCATTTATTTGGTTTATGCAGAAGAAAGATGGATCTTAGTGAATGATGGTGAATACTGCAAGCTTAATGAGGTAGTAACACCACAAGCAGTTGAGTAAGATGTGCTTCCACTGCTTGAGAAAACTAATGCACCTGCTAGTACCTGGAATAAGCTATTGATCTAAAAAACCCTTTTGCTTCCATATGTGTCTAGATTTACAGAAGCAGTTAGCTTTCAATTAGCAAGACCATCAGTATACTTTCACTGTCATACCTCAGGGTTACCTGCTCTCCAGCCCTATGTGAAGAATTCGATTTGCAGAGATTGTGATCACTAGTCCTGTCCCAAAGCTGATTTAGAGGCTAGTAACCCAGTAAAATTTCTAAAGATCCAGTAGGGTGGGGCAGGTCAATAGCATTTCTAAAGTGAAAAACACATTGTTGCATCTGCTCCTCCCACAAGCAAAAAGGAAGCCTTATACCAAATGGCCCTATTTGGATTTGGGGAGTCAACATATAATTCATTTGGATGTATTACTTCCACTCATTTACTGAGGATCCCAAAACTTCTACTTTTGAGTGGTTCTTAGAAAAAGATAAGGCTTTCCAGCAAGTCCAGGTTGGTGTGCAAGCTTTCCTGTCACTTCAGTCATATGATCTAGCGGATTCAATGGTGCTTGATGTGTCAGTGGAGATCATGTGTTGCTTGGAGTCTTTGGTAGAAGACTCTATTAGTAAATCGCAACATGGGCCCTTAGGATTTTGCCAGAATTAAGGATACTGAAGCCATGTTAGGGAAAATTAATGGACATCTATGCTTTCATAAATTGAAGTATTTAACAGTTAAATTTTGGCAGTGGAAACTGGGAGGGAGAAATTTTTAATAAATTTCTATTTTATTATTATTTTTATTATTTTATGCATTTGATCACTGTACATCATTTGGTTTGCAAAGAGAATTTACCCAACATAAAATACACCTCAGACTAGCCCAGTTGACAATACTATACATGAATTCATCAACAGGTAATAAACCATTACTGTGTCCCACAACTGTCTTGCCTCTCTATTTTTCTCCCTAATTTCCTTCCCTATTCTCTTCCCCTCTCCCACCCAGAAAGGAAAAATTTAATCCATTTATTTTAGTCAACTTAAATTGCTAGGGATTTTAATATTTTAATAGGTTCATTTAGGTCTAAATGTCTTTAAGCAGGTTATAAATCCTCTGGAGTTCCTGCTTTGTAATATAGCCTGTTAATATATTCATTGTCTTTCTAAGATAAGTTCACTATTGCTATTTGATTAGTCTGTCTTGTGATTTATTTCAAAGATAAAATGAGAATCTTTTCTTTTTATTCATGACTATTTAATCCTGATTTTTCATCAAATTTTGATGGCAATTATCATCTATTAAAATGCATTCTTTCCCCTTCCTACGTATTTTTTTTTCCTTTTTACAGTAAAGCTGACATCCTGACACCATCGTTAAAAATATTTTATTAGTAATTATATTTGGACACTTTCTCTTTTCTGAGCTGAGTTCTTAACAGTTTTTTAATTAACACTGAACATTTTTAAACATAGAAAAGATTTTGCTGATTCATTATGGGAAAGTGTTGGGATTACCCAACCTTACTTTCTGTATTTTTTTTTTTGGTTTTGTTTTTTTAAGACATGGCCTCACTTTGCATGATCCTGCTGCCACAGTCTCTATGAGTTGCTGGGATTTTTAGATGTATAACACATAACACTTTGGCCTTTACATTGGATCAGAACTCAAACCCAGGCCTTCGACGTGGTCCCAGCCTGTGGATTACAACATGTTAGGCACACCTCAGTTTTTTTTTTTTTTTTTTCATACCTCAGTTTTAAAATAGCTTCTTGTCTGTGTATTTTGGGAGTCTAGAAGATGGACTTTAGACCATAGCTTCCCTGAACATGCCAGGACACACCTCCTAAATTCATTCTTTTCATTACTCTGTTTTGTTTACCCTCTTGCAATGATCATAGAACAATTTACTCACTGACTAACTTAATTTGTAAAATTATATAACTCTATGTTTGTTTTAAAAATAAAACATTTTTATTTGGGAGGGGAAAAAAGAAGCACAGATCACCAAAATGAGCCTCTGTCTTTTCTTGTACTTTTCTCCTACTCCTAGAGAAATATAAACAGAATGTCAGTTACCAAAGATGTTGCCCAAAAGTGAGACAGAAGCCATTTTTATGATGGGGTACTAACAACAAAAGCATAGTTTAAACCATAAGCAACTATGAAGGGGAAGATCATGTGTGGTTAAAAAAAATAATACACAGTTCCATCTCTCTGATCTTTAACATTACCACAAGGAAATGAAAACAAAATGATTTGCCTGCAGAATTGCTATGACGATTAAAGTACAAAATGTAAGTGAAAATTTAGTATTAGTCCCAAATACCTTATTGATACTAGATTACATAAAAATAATGAACTATTTTGCAATGATTTTGAATTATGAGAGAAAGAGAAGCTGGCAAAATACATAGAAGCAAAAAGGAGGAAAACCTTGACTACATGCCAGATACCTGAATGAAAAGTGAAAGCTATGCTTACTTTAAAATTCTCCAACTCCAGAGCCAGAGGTGATCTGGTGGTCCAGGCACTGGACTCCCACATGGATGACTGCAGTTTGAGTCCTGGGCCTGGTGGCTTGCTTTCTCAGTTTTCTGCTCTCTTTTTCTCTGTCTATCTCTGGTAAGTGCACATACCCTATAGCAAAACTTAATAATAAAGACTAAGAAAATCCTCTCATTCCAAATTCTTTATTATATATGAGTGTCTGGGATGGTACTGTGAATCAGAAAAAGAGTAGAGCCAGTTAAAAACTACAACAAACGGAAAAGAGCCCAAAAAGATTAATAATTTGTCAGATAGGATTCAAGTTTATTCCCCAGTTCATTTGCCTTTTATTCTTCATTTCAGTTGGTTACATTTCCATTGGTGATCACCAAGGTTGGGCATGCACCTCAAAATGTTCACAAAAGTTCCACAATACAGGGTTCATAATTAGATTACATGTTATATTCAGAATCCCAGGGGAACTAATAGATTCTGGAAATATTAGTTAAGCAAGATGAAAAATTCTTACACAGTTTCAACTACAACAGCTTTAAAGACACATACAAGCTTCATTTGCCACAAAACTCACAAAGAAGTAATTGATTGAAGAATATCTCTTTTATGCAAAATATACATTTTAAGATATAATTTAATTAATGCTCTACTATATACTGACGTTGCTCCTTGATCATTTAATAAAAAAATACTCTCATTTCCAGAATTTTATTTTTTGGATATTTATAATTGAGGTAACAATGACAAAGGACTTAAACTATGAATGATGTTTGTGAGTTCCTTTTAAGCCATAACAATTTTCCATAACTAAACAAATATATAACTAAGAATAGAACAGTTCTGATAGACACCAAAAATTTCACAACAGAATTGACAAGCTGATAACATAGGTGGTTTATAATAAAATGATACAATGTTCATAGATGCGATGAACAAAGTAGAAGTAAAGGGAATTAAGACAGACCTATACTACATCAGTATCAGTGCCTTATATAATTTACAGCACAATCTACTGCAGGCCCATGAAGAGAAATTCAAAGTATGGGCCTTACTTGAACTTCAGAGATATTGATCCTGAATTTGGCTTCCCTTGATGTGAAATGGCCAAAAGCTGTTGACCCATGCATATGTTGGTATTTACAGGTGTTTTGTGGACACTGGCTAGTCTACAAGCAGACCACTCATATGGGGAGCACCAAATGAGTTTCAGCCATGGTTCTTTTATAAACTGTAAATGTCTCATAAAGACGTGGGGACCTCTTCCAAGTGCAACTTGATCACATCAGGGCACAAACAGCAGCAGAAGTCTTTCCAGTACAATCCTTGGTATGGCTAAATTCCACTGTCCCTTTTTCAGCAGTCAAAAATCCATGATAAATTCTGTATAACACTGTAGTCAATAACAGCAGCACCAGACAGCATATTAATTTCTTTACTGCGAACGTGTGAAATTATAATATTCTCTGTGTGATGTTATCAAAAGAATCACTTCATCTTTAAATATCAGGTATGTACGTCTGGCTAAATACATTGCTGTACAAGATCTCTGACATGCAGATCATGCTCTAGCACTTGGAGATAATGATATAGTAATATGTGTATCGTGGCCAATAATAAAAGTGACAATTGTCTTTCTAACAAAATAAATAAATAAACATGGGAAGTAAATATAATCAACAGTCTTGAGGATCCTGAATGCCTTAGAGTATTATTTTTATCCTCAATTTATATACTATGGCATTTTCCTTTCCTCATATGCCCAATACACCAGATATGCTATTGCTATTGCGTTCATAAGGGTGTGTAAACAGACTCTCTTCCACTCATACTGAATAAGACTCCCTAAGGATTTTGTTGGAGTGTAATGATGAATGCTGGTTGCTAGGTAGTAGAAATTGACACTGCAGCAGGCAGGCAAGTGCAATGATGAAATTCCTGCTTTAATTCTGCTTATCAAAAAGATTCACAGTGCCGATTAACTTAGGTAGTCTATGGGGTGTTATTAATTTATACACAAGGGAGAAAGGCTGCTCCAAATAGCAAAGAAGGCAGGTGGTGGGGGTTGGGGTGGGGGACCCAGTACCAAAATCATGAACACCTTATCAAGACATTTCTATGCTTCATGAGACAGATGGATATACAGTAGACAGGGAGCTAAGACAGACAGACAGAAACAACATACAGGACAAAGCACCTGATTAAACATTGCCTAAAAATCACATTAATCCTTTGATTCAGAAATTTAAGGCCACTCAGTAAAGCCACCCATGAACACCAATGACCACTGATGCTTAAACAAAAATTAATAAATAAAAATAAAGGGAGGGGGTAAAAGAGACACAGAGCTTTTAGTGATATTTTGCACTCTGCGTCTGAAAATAATGATAAATCCTGCAGTTAAAAAAAATATGAGTCTAGTACTAAACAGCAGCTCCTGGCTAAACATTGCAAGCCTGGCAGTTACCTTTCTGTCATGTTTTGTGCCTTCCCCAAGTCATTAAGTAAGAGATCTGGCCTCAGCTTGCGTGTAACCAGTAATGACAATCCCTTTGCAATCTGTGTGCAAACAACCAGAGACATTCAGAACTCCAATACAGCATTTTCGAAGAAAACTAAATCAATCAAGAAATTAAACTATGTAAAACAAATATTTCTTTCAAGCTATAAGGAAAAAATAGTCAAGGAGAAACTTGCCCGCCCTGCCCCACAATTCAACATGCAGAACAATTGATGAGTGCTTTTGTATCAGCAGGATGGTTCAATGCAAGTACACATAACCTGAGCCATCCGTGGTCCCCAAGCTCTGCAACATAGCTTTCAGGTGATAGAGACAAGATGGTCCATGCAAATTTGCTGGCCAAAGTCATGTTGTGAGCAATCAAGATAGGATCCCAGACATCTTCAGAATGGTTTAGAGTCACAAGATATGAAGTTCCAGTGAAATGGTTGGCATTTGGAAGCACACTGTTTAAAATTCATCTCCCTGAAGATGCGTTTATGTATTAGTGTACTGGCCAATATCTGACACTAACTGTCATTTTATTGCAAAAGAGATCAGGGCAATTAATATGGATAAGTAGTAGCACTACTTTAGATCATCTTTAAGCCAGGATAGGATTTGTTAGCTACTCAAGTGGCATGTCTGACTTCAAATAGTAGTATCATGCAAGAGTTATACTGTATTAATGGAGCCTGGAGTAACTTTACATGTAATTATTTCCACTGGGGTTGAACAGTACTTGAATTAATACAATTTAGTTGACTGATGCATTTTGGTTTACAAGATAGATGGGATAGGAGATCGAGAGCGCCTCAGAGGACAAGGAGAGTTGTAGGGTGATGTTACTGGAGAGAGTCTCAGAGTATTGCCTGCCAAGCCCGCTATGTTGTTTAAGCTTCTGGATTTTTCATATCCTTTTATAAAAAAATGCACAGACATCAGTTGAATTTAACCAGAAAAAAGATACAAACAATACCATGCAAGGTCATCAAAAGCGCAATTTTTTAGCTCAAAAACAAATTTGTTTACAAAGAATTCAATACCGAGACAATTTATAACTCTAAGAAAAAAAAATGAAGCTCATCGTAGCTGTCTTTCTCCAAAGATTAAACCAGCTATGACAAATTACAGTTGTAGCACTTCAAAATCTATGCTATCCTAGATTATGTATAATTTTGGCACAGAAAACACTAGAACTCTTAAGAATTAGGCAAAGCAACTTAAGTAAGATATAATATTGGCTAATATTTTCTAACTTTGCAATATGTTCCTAAAGAAAAAAAAAGTAAGTGGGCTATTTTTCTTCTTTCATTTATATTTACTAAGTTAACAAAGAATACTTAACTTTAAGTGGACAACTTTTTTCCAGCATTTTTAATCTTTAGCTTTATAGGGTTAAAAAGATGATTCTTAAATAATGGCATTTGATGTTATTATCCAGGTGATGTAGAATGGAATGCCCATTTTTAATCCCTTAGATTAAAATAAAGAAAAAAAGAAAATGAGTGAAATATAAATTAGTCATAATTTCAGTTAAATAAATTCTAAATTTGATTACATGATGTTTTCTGATTACTTCCTCACCACTTAGGAAATGAGAACAATTTAACCTTAATGCATCCTTTCTTTCCATTTTCTTTTATTCTTATCTTTTGTTCATGATAGCCATGAATTTGTAGAATAAAATAGCCTATCCCCAATTAGCCCAATCTTTTTTCTTAGCTACTCAAACAAAACTCCATCAAGATTGCCTTAAAAGGACTAATATATGGTAGTATTTTTTATTACTAAAGAGAAAAGGTAGATAATAAGGTGAGAATCACCTAGTATGAAGTTTGAAATAAAAAGTCTGAAAATTAGGGTAACTATTGACTAAAATAGTGGTCTTATTGCATGGCTTTGAAATTGAATGTTCTAACAGCTCTGCTGGAGAGCTTTTATACAGAAGAAAAATTAAATTCTCTTTAGGTAAACAATATTGAACAATACAATTCCAGTGAGGTTCTTGTCTCTCTTAGACTGTAAGGCAAAGTGTTTGGGCTCTAGGTAACCCTACATTTCCTTGCTGATTACAAGGCAAAAAACATAGGTCCTTTGTTTTTCCTCATGTTGTTTTTTCTATCTTCTTTCTTTATTTCTATCTTGTCACAGAACTTTCAGTAAAGAAGACATTGCTCTCTCTCCTCCTTTCATTGGAAAAGAAGTGATTTATCTGATTATTTGACTTATGAGAAGCCAAGACAGATCTGCGAATGGATTGCAGTAACAGCTCTATAACAGCTAGCAAGGAAAGGAATGGCAAACCTACCCCTTACACATACACACACACATTAACTTTAAGCAGACTAGATGTCTTTTTTTAATACTTGGATATGGAAATTAATGCCATCTTTTAGCTGTGGTAAAGTTCCCTGAGACATAATTTTTCTTCATTAAAAAATTATGTGCCAACAGTTTATTATTACTACATGTTATAAGACATAAGAGGTCATATTATATTTCATCCTATGCTAATGGAAGATAGAATAGTTAATGAGAGATTATCTTAAATAATTTTTTAAAAATTGCAGGTAGTTTGTCCTTACATGGACCTTCAGGTTTCTTTAGGGTTAGTTATTACTGCTATTCTGTAAGGTGACTGACAATATAACTTTAGTAATAATAGGGAAAAGAATTTATTCTGCACAGTAGAAGTGGATTGTATGACCTAAAAATGTAAACTAGACTATAAACATTGATTGGTTATGATTAAAGAAAAACTGGTGAATATGCATGAACCAAAGGGCTGTTAATACCTATAAATCATGGTAAAAAAAATGTACTTCTCTGTCCTACACAATCTCTAGCCTCCAATAGGACCTCTAGAAAGGTTAAGATTTGTTTAATAGTTTCGTACTAATTATACCAGTAATATGTAAACCTTAATTGCCTTTCTAAATGTTATTTTTCTGAATTACAGTTTTGAACATAAATATTATCCATTCTACTTATAGGGCCTTTATTTTTAATTACTATAATTTTAGTGTCCATCTGAAAAGGCTTCTTTTCTAATTTTACAATGAGTGTTTAATTAGTAAAATTATATGCTACTTATGTACATTTATTATTCTTTATTCTACATGTTCATTTCTCATTATAAAATTTGATGAAATGTTGTGTAATCAAGTTTTACTGGAATGGCTAAAAATATGATTCATGAGAATAAACAATATTAAACCAGCTTAAACTAACATCTAAAGGGCAATATTAAAATAACCTACCCTGTTCTACTCAGGAGTGTGTTTTCATTTACATCTTATGCTTTCCTAAAAACTACTGTACAAGTAAAAACATGGGTTTTAAATATTGGGAGCTTACAATTTTAGGAAATTTTTATTTTTTTTAATTTACACTCAAGTTTATTTCTATATGTAAGTAGAAAATGAATTCAGTGTGATCCAGTAATTTCATTTATATAGGGGAGAAATAGAATTCTAAAATTAAATCAGTGGGACATCATACTGAAATGTAAATGTAGGGGTTATATAGGAAATAAATGGCTGAACAGAAGTAATGAAGAAATCTATAAATTGCACAATTAGAAACAGGAAGAAAAAAAATGAATGAATTTCTGGTAGATATACAATGTATGATAATACACTAAAAGTGAACTTAGCCAGAAATGTTATTAAACTTAGGGGGCAAAAAAACACATAGCTACAGATGAATTGGAAAGAATGAAAAAGAATTGATAATGGTGAACAATATAAAGAAAAAGAAATTACAGATAAATTTTCAGGGATTTTTCATTGACACAGAAAATTTTATTTGTGAAATAAGATTGCATGGGTAACTTTTCCATGCAAACTAAATATCTTATTAATTGCTTTGCTTGTGAAACTTTGCAATTTTATAGCAAACTTTATATTTACATAATGCCTTATAATTTGCAAAGCTTTTCTTACATGTGATTTTCTTTGATAGTTTAAAATTCAAAGAGTTATCTAACATGGAAAGAAAATCCTAGAAAGATCCTTAAAAACACATAGCCTCAGTATAAATATTGCATGTGACAATTTATTGGATGATGCTCAAAATATGTCAATTTTACTACATATAAAAATATACAAATATGAATATCCATTCAGATATACACACATTTATATGTATATACATACATAATAGGATATGAAATAAACTTAGAACAGCATGTTCTAATATAAGATATTATAAGTTAGATATTATCTAATATATGCACATATATTTTACTCAAGAACTATGATAAGGTATTAACTATTTTAATATAATATTTAAAATTTTTATAACACATTTAATTATAAAATCATAAACAAATATATCTATTTGGATTATTGAAATACATTTTGATGAAAAGAATAGATGCAGACAATGGAAATCATTGGAATGGAGAAGGATTTAAAATATGGCATTGAAAAGCAAAAAGGTCCTTTGTCTTCTCTTTTGATCCTCAAAATCATTGAGTCAGAGAGAGACAAAGTGATTAGAAAAGAAAAGAAAAAGAGAGAAGCATGATGTGGGTACCGAAATATTTTAAAGAAATAAAGCATCATAAAATAGATATTTTAGGCTTAAAATGGTAAAGAATTCAATGAGAAGAAACTGCAATGAAAAATAAGTACAGTATTTTTAGAATACAGTTGCTCTAATACCAAAGTTTTGTAGTGGTATATATTTTTTTCATTCAAATTCAGCCATCTACCATAAGAAATCATTATCTTTCCTTATTCTGTCAATAAGCAGACAAATAGCTATGGCAAACAACTTGATTTATAAAAGTAATAGGTAATCAATGTACATATCAGCATTTTGAGTAAAGTGAGTTATAGTTACAACTGAACTATACTTAAGGAAATAAAAAAATATTCCAATTGCCTTGAGTACTGTAAAGTCTGCCAAAAATAAATAAATAACGCACCCAGGAAATCTATAATAGACAATGGTACAACTGAGGCAAAGAGTACCACATACTGAAGCTGAGCATTGGTATTCTGTTATATTCCTCAACAAAGATGCCTGTCCAGCAATTTTTATTCATTCAATAAATATGATCATCTATGTGTCAGGCACTGTTCAGTGCCTATTAAAAAATAATAGTAAAGTCAAAATGATTATTATTGGTCCAGAAGAGAAATTCTGTAAGTCCATTTGGTAAATACAAAGTAACTTTTTAAGTGATTAGATATACTTTTCTATAGGGCTGACGATCTTGTACTTTTGTAATATAAAGACACTTAGTTAAAACATTGGCAAAAATTGCCCAAGTACTGGTAAAGTGATCCAATTAGAACATGCTTAAAGGTTTACTTAAAAAAAAAATTCGAAATGTTAAGTCAGAAATTACTGATCAAATATTTGCATAGAGTCTATTAGTGAGTACTATTTGTTGTAATAAAAGAGATAACTTTTAAGGTCTGCTGAGTGTATTTTATTAAAATAATTGAATAAGTGATTTAATATTTACATATTCCACTACAATTTTTCCCATAGACAAATGACCAAAACAAACAAAAAAAAAGGTGAAATGCCTTTCAAATATGACAAATAGGCTGTTATCATATGTATTTTAAAACATTTATAATGAGAGATGTGATGGAGAGAGGAAAAGAGCATAACATGAAGTCTTTCCTAGAAAATTATGAAAGAGTATTTTACATCACTCTATATATTTCCAGCATTTAATTATTAGGTAACCTGTTAGGATCTGATTAAACGCATGCCTACCTTTCCTGATCCCTCCATCAGAAGCACATGTGTAATCCCCTGTTGTCAGTAGGAAACATGTTTCCCCTCTTCTGTTTTTGTCTCTGGTACTAGAGCGTCTGATGGGGAGCCTTTCTGGGGGTGATAATGGCGGCTCACTTCCTGTACTGTCGTCACCTGATAACACTGGTCACAGCACCATGCCCATTGACAGACAGTGATGGATGAGGAAATGAGACAGTACAAAGAGTTTACACTGAATGCTCATAGTCCAGTCACTCAATATACAAAACACAGTAATCACATCACAATAAGAAAAATAATTGTCATCACTCATCACAAAAAATTACACAGAGCAAAATGGAAATGTATTATAAAGGAAAGAAATGTTCTTTGGAAAATTGTCATTCCTTTTGGGATTTTATCAAATAGAAAAATTGACTTTCCAACAACTAATATGAACTTAAAATGATAACAGATAGAACACAAATTATCTTGTAATTTTTTACATTGTCTAGTTACTGTGCATAGGAATCTTTAAAAGTGGAGCCTATTTAAGGGTGAAATCAAGTAAATATTTGTTTTTTAAGTCCTGCAAGAGACATGCTTTCATTATTTTCTCAAAGCAATTTTTCCAAAAGTCTTAATGAATATAATACCAAAGTACACAAATTTTATGGTAAGGTACTTCATTTTGAAGTGGCAAAAGATTTTTGAGCGTACGATGGAACAAGATCAACTTCTCTAAATGCCCTTGAAGTAACTATCTGTTTACTCCTGTATGCTTGCCAAAGACCTTCACATCCTCTCAGCCTAGACACTGGCTTGTTATTACAATTACAGTGTTTACCCAGGATGAGAATGTGTCTTTTCTCCATGCCCTTCGTAAGGGCTCTGCATAGATATTCTAAGAATATGAGGGAAGTAACACCAGCTAAACTCCACCTTCCACTGAGACACCTATAGTTTTCAGATATATTTTGCAGTGCAATCTACTAAGGGAACACATGGATTGTGAATAGAATTGTGAAATACCAGTTAGGTCTAGCTACTTCCCCCCCACCCCCATTTGCCTTGTAAAAACTTCTGGAAGCTAAGGAAGGAGCTATGAAAATGGCACCTGTCTTTTTTTGTTTGCTTGCTTTGTTTATTTGTGTTATTTCTAAATTATGCAAAATTATTTACATGGGATCATATCATGTCTTCTATTTTATAAAAAATATATACAAAATGTATGGAAAGTAAATACCTTCCTTTTTTCTAGTAAGGTAAAAGCTAATTAAACTGTTTAATCTACAAAATATTTAACCTGTACCATATGTAATAGTTGAGGGATAACACTACTATCACTTCAGCAAAATCAATATCTACTTACAGTCAGTTAATTCTAGACTGCCTATAGCAATGGAAGGAAACAGGGATTCAGCTAATCTCAAGCAGTAAATCATCCAAATTCTGTTCTAGGAGGGAGTAGAGACCAATGCATAGTGCAGTGCATAAAAAGAAAATCCATGTAGAAATTCAACTTTGCCACTGACTAGCCAAATCAGGTCATTATCCCCTGAATAATGGTGGGTCGTTGTATTATATGGCATCTTGCCTCCTCAAAGTGGTTATATTGAGATGGTCTACCTAGTTTAAGGTAAGTGAAAATTTAATTAATCCTACAGAATATTACTAGGAAGGAGATTGGTTACTGAAAGAGTTATCTTCCATGTCACCTCTTTGGTGTTGAGGCCTTGGAAATGCAAACATCCATTCTTCTTAAATAACAGCTTCTTGTGAATTAGGTTGAGATGCATGGCACCATGTGGCAGAGGCAAAACTGAGACAAACACACCAAGCCAAACGATATGGAGATCAACATTTGAGGATGAAGAATGGAAAATGGCCAATATCACCATCACATCGTGCAAGAAAACAAGGAAACATTGGCACAAAATCAACAAACAGTCAAAAGAAAATATTGGCACCATCAGCAAAGGGCATTCCTACAAAAGCAGGAAAACTCTATAGACCAACTATGCAGACTACTACTCGGGGTTCAAATGCTACAGTCTAGCTGTCTTTAAGCCTGACACAAGCACACATTTTGTGAAGGGGTAGGGCTGAAAACTCAGAACATCACAGAAAATGAAAGTGACTGCCTTCTGCCTAAGGGACATAATGGTCTATAAAGTATTTAATGACATGCATTTGAAAATGTGCCTTACCTGATCTGTTATGTTCCAGAAGTCGATTGTCTTTGCCCAAACACGTGTCACCCTGTGTGCTATTGCAGGCCATATTTAATTCTGTCTTGCAAAAAGTAGGTGAGCTTGCCTGGGGGGCAGGAGGGATGTGCTTCTTTCTTTTCCTTGGAAGTTTCTGCTTCGCCATTGCCAAGGAGTAGTACATTCCAAAATTGTTGACAATGACAGGCACAGGCATGGCTATTGTCAGCACTCCAGCCAGAGCACACAGTGCTCCCACAAGCATCCCTGACCATGTTTGGGGATACATATCCCCATAACCCAGGGTAGTCATGGTCACGACAGCCCACCAGAACCCGATGGGAATGTTTTTGAACTGCGTGTGCTCACTAGCTGAAGGGTCGTTAGGTTGAGCTCCTACTCTCTCCGCATAGTAGATCATGGTAGCAAATATCAAAACTCCTAGAGCCAGGAAGATTATCAGCAGCAAAAATTCATTAGTACTAGCTCGTAGAGTGTGTCCAAGCACCCTCAGACCTACAAAATGACGAGTGAGCTTGAAGATTCTCAGGATCCTCACAAACCTGACCACCCTGAGGAAGCCAAGGACATCTTTAGCAGCTTTGGATGACAGCCCACTGAGTCCCACCTCCAGGTAGAAGGGCAGGATGGCCACGAAGTCAATGATATTCAAGAGATTTTTGATGAATTCAAGTTTATTGGGTGAAAAAACAATTCGGACTAAAAATTCGAAAGTAAACCACACCACACACACACCTTCTACATATGTCAAGGCAGGATCCGTTTCAATTTCATACTGCAGAACAACACTTGTGCCATTGGTGACTGGTTCTGTCTTGTTTTTAACAATATTGAAAGCTTCATGTGTCTCCAGGCAAAAGGTTGTGATTGAAACCAGGATGAAGAATAAAGAAGCAAAAGCAATGAACTGTAGAAGAGAAAAAGAAATTAAAAAAAAAAAGAGTGATTTAAACCATAATATACTTTGATACAATTTAAAAGCACTGATCTCTGTAAACAAAAGGGAATAGTAGCATATTTGGAAATTTAGGATGTGACTCAAGCAAAAGAATGGATATGTATGCAACGTTAATTAGTGTGAACATGTAATGCATTGCTAGTTCTGTTTTCAGCTTATTTAGATGCAGTTTTGCTTTATTGTTGAAAACTAATTTCTTGAGTCTTTCATATAAGAAAATACAACCTGTGAAGAGAGCATAAAAATCACTGCAAAAGAATTTTAAAGGGCAGTAGACTGGGGAAAAAAAGAAATTAAGATGTTGTTTATGACCCTAGAACTTTAATGCCTATAAGTATAAGATACATTACAAACTGATGGGTTTCTGGAGGTCACCCATATTTAACTGCAGGCTTCTATTAATAAACAAAATATTCTGTCTATCACGAGATTTGAACCTGAAAAAAATACAATATATGCTGCTATTTATACTATACCAATATATTATGGAAACTTGTACAAAATATCAAATTCAGAGAAGAGTAAGCAACAAGACTGAAGACAACAAACTGAGTTAAAAATAAATGAAAAGACAATTTTCTTTCTCTATTGAAAAAGAACTCCAAATGTTACGGTATCATGAAGTGGTAGGATTTTTTAAAATTCAACTCCTTATTTTATATCCTCAATCAATAAAATATAAAAAAATACACTTACTAATACAGAATAATATTCCTATCAATTATTATTAATAATAAATATGATAGCACATAGTTTTCATAAGTACCAAGAATGCCTAAAAGTAATTTACATAATTAATTCATATTACTTGTCATACCAACACTATTACCATCCTATTTTATAGTTGAGGGCTATCAGGCACAGAGAGTTTGTCACTTTTGCAAAACTGTAAGATATAAAGCGATAGGCCTGAGACACTAACCAGACAAATTCAGCTCCAGATTCTATTCCCTTAACTTACCAAACTCTCAAATATGTGACCCAAATATATTTAGAACCATGTATTTAGGTTAGGATCAGATACTTATAAAAAAGCTGATAATGTAAAACCAGTTCTTTGCATGAACAGCATTGTTGTAGGCAATTTTAGAAGCTTTCGAAGAAAGGCAGATTACTAGTACCCTTTTCATAATGGGTTCAGTTTTAGCATGCTAAATGAACACCAAACGATTGTTCCTTGAGTGTTTTAATCAAGTAATCATTCAGGGGAAGAGGCTGCCTGTCACGTGGAGGGAAGTCCTTTTTGGAATAACAGGGTATAGTCAAAATCCAAAGTTGACCCCTTAAAATTACCCCTTAAAAATGCCCCTAAGAAGAGCAAAGCCTAGTTCTAATATTGAAACTGTCTTCTTGGGAAGGTAGTTACACTTCTCTAGTGGAGTTTCAATTGTCAAATATGCAAGGAGAATGCAAAAAACTTGAAAAGTCTTAAGGCTGCCTGTCTGCCTTAGAGAACCACCCTGAATTATAGAACTGTTATTGGTACAGTGTGCCAGAGAGTGTATCAGTCATATAGGATTGTAAGACGTAATTTTCACAGCTTTGACTTGTTTTTCCATGCCCATCTCCAACTGTCTTTGTATTTGGTATTATCATCTGACCATTCACTTTCCTGCATATACGATATTAAGCATGTTTTTAATTCAATTTTTTCTTTGTACAAGTAAATATACAATTCTTTATAAATCAACTAGTTGTTTTAGCACTTAGTATCACTAAGATCTTCTGTATGCATAAAAAGTGACACCTTTTGGAAGAATCAACTATCCTTCATTCATAAATTACTTCTTAATCTGGTCCTAGTCTTCTCTATAAATATGAGAGTCACGTTTGCTTCTGATTGCATCTAAAATCTTTTGCCATTAGAACCCTGCAATAAGTACCTACTGAGTCCTCCCATCCAACATCCACACTCCCATAATCCCCACTTTAGTCGCCAGCATTTCAGGCTAAACGTCAAATTTTGGAGCATATACATTCTATCTATGAGGCAGACAGAGAGTTTAAAGCATTGAAAACAAGCTGTAATTTCATTCATGCTTCCAATGTTCTTCACTCATTTTCTTTTCTTTCAGCTAGCTTTGCTATCTCAAACTCTCTTCATCTACATTCATGTAGTCAATTGATTAAGAGTTCTCAACACTTTGTTATTCCAAAATTAGTCTTAGCTGGTTTTCCAACCTTCATACAACAAAAATAATTTTCCAGTACGTTTTTATGTTTGTCAATATAAAACACTGGGACTTATTCCAATCAGATATTTTCCTGCTCTAAATTCATTCATTTGTTCAACAAATATGTATTAGTTACCTCTCTGGGACCAGCTATTGGTGTAATGGCTATGTCATTGGACTCCCATGTAATCGATCGTGGTTCGAGTCCTGGACCCGGTGGCTTAGAACTCACGCCGGGCGCATGTGCGTGCGTGCCCAAGATCCCGAGAGGAGAATGGAGGAGAAGGGATTGCGGAGTGGCCATCCCCCCAGGGGGGTGATTTCTCACTTTCTGTCTCTCTGTCTCTCTCTGTCTTTCTGGTGAGTACACTCGCCCTATAGCAAAAATCTCTTTAAAAAAATAAGAAGAAAAGTTCGCAAAAATCTCTTTAAAAAAATAATAATAAAAGTTACCTCTCTATGCCAGCCACAGTCCAGATTCTTAATTTAACAACAGCTAACAAAACACAGTCTCTCTGTCTGTCTGGCGAGCGCACGTGTCCTATAGCGAAAACCTCTCCAAAAAAAAAAAGAATTTACCCAACATGAAATATTCTCTGACCAGTCCAGTTGAGAATACTATACATGTTGTCATCAACAGATGATAAACCATTTCTGTGTCCCACTAATGTCATGCCTCATTATTTGTTCTCTTTCTATCTTTCTATATACTCTTCCCTTCTACCACCACGTTCCACACTGTCTTCAGCAGCTACAACTATTTTCACTGCTTTTATGCCCTCCATTATTTCGATCTCTACCTTAAAGTCTGGATACTCAATATATATTGTGGATACATACAATATCTTTCTTTCATATCCTGACTTGCATCACTTAAAGGACAGGAGAACGCTCAGTCAGAAAAGTGCTTGCACATTAATGTTTATTGTAGCATTATTCACAATGGCTGAGGCACAGAATCAATCTAAATGTCCACAAACAGATAAGTGGATGGAAAAACTATGGCACATATACTCTATGGAATACTACTCAGTCATAAAAAAAAGATAAGATCCAGACATTTGATAGAAAGTGGTAAAATACAGAGGATATATTGCTGAGTGAATCAACTAATGTCTTGACTCATACCGCAAGGGGAGCAGGCTTTCAAACCTACATGCATTATAAAAATTATGACATATAAAGCCTAATATAGCACAGAGACTCTTGCTTTTTAAAGGTTAAACCCTTTTATTAAGGGAATTTTAACCAACAGAAATATTAATTGGGTTTTTTTTGTTTTGTTTTGTTTTTAAGGTTTTTGCCCAAGGGGGCATGTGCTCACTGGAGAGAGACAGTGAGAGGGAAAATGAGGAATCATCCTTCAGAAGGGATGGTCACACCTCAGAATCCCTTTTCCTCCATTCTCCTCTCAGGATTTTGGGCACGCATGCACACATACCTGGTTTATTTTCAAGACACTAAGTCTGGGACTTAAACCACAGTCGGACATGTGGGAGTTCAACACCTTAACCAATATGCCAACTGCTGGACCCAATGTTAACTAAGTTTTAAAATGAGGCTGTAAGGTGACTTTAGAGCAGTTTGATAATTAACCTATTAGGATACCTAAAGGAATAACTTGACTTAAATTATTATACCAGACCCATTGTTTGAGAAGACGTGAAAATAGAATACATGTATCAAAGTTGTTTTTAATTTAAGCACTACATGAAGTCATTATATACACTTTAGTATATTCTTTTTTCTTTTTTTTTGGAGAGGTTTTCGCTATAGGGCGCGTGCACTCGCCAGACAGACAGAGAGAGACAGAGAGACAGAAAGCGAGAAATCACCCCCCAGGGGGGATGGTCACACCGCAATTCCTTCTCCTCCATTCTCCTCTCGGGATCTTGGGCACACACACACACGTGCCTGGCGGGAGGTTCAAGCCACCAGGTCCGGGACATGAACCGGGGTCGACTACGTGGGAGTCCAGCGACATAGCCATTACGCTAACTGCTGGTTCCCATACACTTTAGTATATTCTAAAAATAAGATTATAGTTTAATAAGAACTCCTAGAACCCGATGTTTATGTTCATTAAAGAAAAGTTATTATGTTCTCACAAAAAGATCAACAGGTCAGGAGAAGGTCAACAAAGTCTTAACATCATACATGGTGGTTGGTATATGAGTATAACGAGCCATTTTTAACTTGGAAACAATTTAAATTATCCCTGTAGTCCTAGAAGAAGAGTGTAGTACAAAGATGACATTTATTAGAATATACCTAGGAAGCTCCCACAAATGTGAATTCCTTACCCACAAATGAGAAATGAGAAATCAGGCACAGATTCTTTCTTTTTATTTTTTTTTTATTTATTTTATTTATTGATTTTTTTTTTTTTTTTTTTTTTTTGCTATAGGGTGCGTTGACATAGA